ATCGGAATGTACTTTATCTCATTCTCTGAATTTTCTCCATTTCAGAGATCAGATTCAAATATATAATTTGTCAAAGTATAAAAACCTAAAAACTATCTAATTCTATTAGCAAAGACATGAAGACAACAGAATAAAATAATTACCTTTCTTAAGATATTTTATGTTATTTTATATTTAAATATTTCTTATCATTAATAGAAAAACCATAAAATGATTAAGACATGTAAATATAAAATAAAGTTAGAACACAGTTTATTATTTAACTAAACATCTGATTTTCAATCTACTCTTTTTCAATATCTTTGATTAATTGTATCTCTGTCTTAGAGATTCATGTTACTTATAACTTCCCATTTGTGGTTTTCAGGGGAAAAAAGAAAGCTCATTGTCATCCAACAGAGGAAATTGGTAGTCTACTAGATGACAAAACCAATTAGGCTCTAAAACAAGTTGGTCCTGTTTCTTCAAAATGACATATAAGTGAGCCATTTTAATGACTTGAAATGTCCACTTTTTCCTAACTGTATGTCTATCAGAGCCTATCTGTATTTTCATCCCATAAGTAAAAGTGGGGTTTTCCCTACAAAAATGGCAGAACCAAATATTACCAATAGAACAATTTCTAAAATACAATTGGGAATTTCTGCAGTAAAGGGATGAGATGACTATATCTTTAATGTCTTTTTTTTTTTTTTTTGGTGGGGTGTGTACCAGGGATTGAACTCAAGGGCACTCAACCACTGAGCCACTTCCCCAGCCATATTTTATATTTTATTAGAGACAGGATCTCACGGAGTTGCTTAGTGCCTCGCTTAGTGCCTCACTGGGGCTGGTTTAGAACGCAGAATCCTCCTGTCTCAGCCTTTCCCCAGCTGCTGCGATTATAGGCATGTGCCACTGCACCCAGCTATATCTTTAATGTCTTGATAAGTTTTCTAAAGAATCCTTAGAAGGTATTGAAAGTTAGTTTTCTTTCATAAGTTTAAGAAGCATAGTTATAATCTGGTTTATGAGTATGAAATTATTTATTTTAAATATCAAATGTACCAATATGAATCTTAACTTCAGAATTCCATGATTTCTGTTTATGTTCATCATTTTGGGAAATCTGAGCTCCACAAATTATGCAAAAGCAATCCTTGAGCATTATACACTTGCACTTTATTTGCATAGTCTCTCTGAGTATGGAATCTCTGTAACCTTCAACAAGATAGTCAGTCTGAAATTCCCTGTATCTATCCTCCCTCACATTCCCTCATCACATTTAGTAGTTTCTAAAGATAAATATTTAATCCTGGTTTACATAGCCAACTATAATTAGTTTTCTTCATTCATGGGATAAAATTACATATCATGTGACTTTGAGTGGTGATTTAAGGTACTTAGAAGACTAACCGCCAGACATATTTGAGGTAAAATGGAAGTAGAGATAGTCTGCCATTCAGAATTAGTGTATATATATACACACACACACCCACACACACACACACACACACACACACACACTCCCAGTTGAATCCATAATAAGTTTACAAGTACTGCATTTTGAAAAAAATATGATACTATTTAAAACAATAGGATTAGAGTCTTTAAAAAATCTTAGTTTTATCGACATTTAACAATTAAGTGCATGGTAGGGAAGAAAAATACTTTTTGAAGAAAGAAATATAATGACTGATGTGATTTTACCCAATAAAATTTTTAAAATACTTTTTTAGTTGTTGATGGACATAATATCTGTTTATTCATTTATTTTTATATGGTGCTGAGGATTGAACCCAGTGCCTCACATGTGTGAAGCAAGTGCTCTACCACTGAGCAACAGCTCCAGCCTTACCCAATGAAATTTTACTGAGTTTCTTTTTTCTGAGTCACAAGATCGCCCCAGACATAGGAATTGTATTCATAGTCACTTAAAACTGTCTGTTTAATACTCACATTCTATACAGCATCCCTCTACTCTTCTTCTTCTTCTTCTTTTTTTTTTTTTTTTTTTGGAGGGAGTGGGTAACAAGGATTGAATTCAGGGGCACTTAACCACTGGGCCCTTTTTTATATTTTCTTTAGAGACAGAGTCTCACCAAGTTGCTTAATGACTCACTAAATTGCTGGGGCTGGCTTTGAACTCTAATCCTCCTGCCTCAGCCTCCCGAGCCACTGGGATTACAAGTGTGTGCCATGGTACCCAGCTCTCAATGTACCTTTTAAAGAAAATTCACTATTATTATCTCTTATGATCAGTCCCCTCACTTTACACACAGAATATACATGTTGAAATATTCAAACATACTATTATAACTGAATTTTTAGACAATTAATATCTATTTTCAAATACTTCATAAAAATGCAAGCAACTTAATTGGTACCCATCTCTAGTTACTTGAGAAAAAATAATTTACACTTTAATCACTTCTTAATTTATATTTTTATACAGTGTTCAAATCTAGCCTTCCTACCTAGCAATTAGTTCTTTAGTAGTATTTACAACTTAACTAAATGGCGTATTACTTCCTGCTTCAATTTTCTATGCATGCTCTAACTTTTGTCATTACCTCAATAAGTAAATAGAACATTTTAAATCACACTTCTTAAACCTTCTTATAAATATTTGGTATTAGGCCCTTAGTATTACATCCATCAACATCTATTGGGAATATCTGCCATTTGAACTAAGACAAAGTAATTCATCTTAAAAAGTAATCATTGTCATTAATTCTTCATCAATCATGACAGTGTTGCAATAAGAAATTCTAAAACAGAGTTTGGGGGAAGAGTTTTTTTTAAGTCAGCACATTAAAATTTAACATAATCAAAAGTACATTGTACATCTTTATAATGCACACATGCAATAGGACACAGCAAATATGAATCAGGGAGAAACCTGTCACATCTCTGAAGCAAGAGAGATCACCAGGTCCTTATCGTAGTAATTGCATTCTTTGTGTACGGATCATCTACAACTGAGACTTGACAGAACAGTTTCCACAATATATTTCACCTAATTATTTTATACTTCTTTATGGTTTCTTACCATAAAACACCATAGGTTTCACTGGCATAGGGAAAGCTAAACTGAGTGGTTAGCTTGAGTACAAGCATGCTAAATTAACCAGTGCTTCTTCACCAGAGGAAGTAAAGAGGTTGTTTTGCATTCAGTAGTCCATATTTGTATCCAATGCATGAATCAAAGGTGTCAAGCAGAGAAGACATTACTGAACTATGATTAATTTGACACTCTTACCTTCTTTGCAATTATTTTCACTAACCTTAGAAAGAAAGCCCAGAGCAGGGTTGTCCTCTCTATGAAGATTTATATACTATAGGGTAAATTGTTAGAAATTTGAACTTCACATAAACAGTAAAATACTTTGATGAAAACATTTTTTTAAATTTAAGAAACATTTTTTATTGACATATTCTTTACCCATACATATACTTATAATAAAAATAAAATCAGAGGAATTGAGAAAATAAGCAATAAATGTTTACAGGTAATGGTTTTAATAAAAAACAATAATGATGTCTTCAAAAGTTACATGGAAAGCCACAAAATCTTAATAAAAAGAATGAAGAAATTTGCCATGGTCTAGCAATGCCATTATATGGATATGTGGATTTTAAGTTTTCCTTCATGTGACACAAAGTTGCTATTGGACTAAGACGCAGAAGGAAAAGTTAAGTAACTCCATATTGTAAATCTCCAAAGCATTAAATCAGCATAGATAAATTGTGGCAGCTTTGCTTGGTTGAATTTGCACTTATGAGGTGATGCATTTATTTATTTCTCCAAGTTGATCCATTTTGATGCTGTCTGAGGGAAAGCAGCTACCCTCACAAAATCAGAAGGCTCTGAGGGCCTCCAGACAGAGTGAACACTTTTCCCCAAACTGAAGACTATGTAGAATATCTTACTTTCCTACAACATGAAAAATAACTGAACATTTATCTGTATTTTACCCTCTTAAGCACTTCTGCTAATGCAAGCCAACAAGTGTGAATCCCACAAAAGAGAGGTTGTTGTGGATAGAAAAAGGCAGACAAAAGTAAAGAGGTCCTAAATGACAAGTTTACTAAGAACTAAAAGGTCCTATACCGATAATACACAACTGAAAATTAAAACAGCAAGGAACGGGAAAACACGGCTCAGTTAATAGAAAAGAAATCTGTACAGAAGGACAAAGCACAAATGGTGAGAGGAATAAGATTTTTCCTCATTTTGTAAGAGAAAATAGCTTCATTTTGACCCAAAATTTGTTACATTAGTATCACTCCAAAAGCGAGATTATTTTCTATTTAAAGAGAAAATATTGACTTATTGAATTAAATATTCCCCTCCAGCAATCTGCATTAGAATAATTATAGCATTTACACATTTAGCAAGGGAAGACTTTTAATTGATGTTGTCTTAGAGGGACACTCTTAAACATACTTTAATAACAAACATAATATGGCATTATATTTTGTACTATTAAGAGTGTCCCTTTTCAAAGTATCAGAGATAGTCAGCAATAAAGAAGTTTTAAAATCTCTAGCATTATCAAAGTAACTTCAGACCATCTGAGGATGCATCCCAGCCTACTACCATGTGTCTATGGCCTCTGATATGAAAGGCAAGAATCTCAGATGTCATAAAATATATGCATTGTTGGAATTTTGCTAATTTCTCAGCAAATCATTATAAATAGTTCATTGCAAAATTGGCTTAAACAGGCTTTTCTGCAGCCTCCGGAGGGCCATGCTGCTGCAGAAATCAATTTTATCAGAAACAATACTTTCTTAAACCTAAGAAACAATATTTTCTTCAGCCTCAGAGACACAAGCACAAATAATACATTTGTAAAATATGCATAAAATGTGCTTTTGCTAGAATGAATGGGACTGTATGTACACACAATTCTTCTCAAAACATGTCCAACTACAATTATCAACATCATCAATCAACATCACCACATCACTGTACCATGTTCTTCTCTTCATCCTGTTCCCTTAAATACTCTTACCTCTCTCCCTCCTTGTGCTGTTTCCAGTCTTTTCAGGCTTAAACCCTGAAAGAAAAAAGAATACACATATATATATTTTTGTCAACAAAGTAAAAGTAGCTACTAATAAGTACACCTGCAAGAACATTGCAGTAAAGAAGTCCTTTAAGAGAGAACATCTGTATGCTGACAAATATCTCACACATATGCACGTATATGGTGTGTGCATCTATAAAGTAAATCTTCAAAGGCGATACTTATGTGTTTCTCTCTAAACCCTAATGCCATGTGTAAAACTAAAATACAATGCATCTATTTTAAGCAATGATTGCCTGCCATTTAGTGAGACCATAATTTAGAATGTGCTAACTTGAAGCAGTATGTGCACTATGTGTATTATTCTTATTCTCCCTCATCCCACTTGGCACATCTTGGGCCTCAAACATTAAGTGAGGTTGATAAAAAGAAGCAGAAACCCTTGTAACATTGGTGTCCATCTAGAAAATGTCCAGGGTTTATTTTTTAAATCATGTATTTTTTTAAAAAATACTCAGGATTTAGTTCTGATAAAAGACTTACTTTCCCCTCTGTGTTCTCATAACTGCTGTCCACAGTAGAAAGGAAGGACCCACCTTAAGTCTCTAATGCTATGCTTCATTAAAATGAAGAAAAGTTCATCTTTCTTTTAGCAAGCCAGAAAATTGTACTTGTGGCACAAGATGAAGAACCATAGAGTGATTTATCTATTAATCCATCCATAATCTTTATCTACTGTGACTGGATTAATGTTATTTAGTAAAGCAATAGAGTGAAAAACTATTTATTTTTCTATAAACGTAATGAATGTTTCAATTCCTGTTATTTTTCCTGTAGTTGCTTCATGTCTTGATAGGATGATGTGAAAATTGCAAAAATTTTGATCTTACAGTACTTAATATTTCTATTTTTCTTCTTCCTTACCTTCTATTTTTCTCTCTTCTTCTTTTCTCCCTCCTTACCTTTAATTATTTTACAACATATATTTATTAAATACTTGCTCTAAGTCAGACATCTTGCGAGACATTGGGAATATCAAAATAAATAATAATATTCCAAGTGTAAAAGATCATTGACATAAAGGTGTAGATAAAACTTAAGGAGATTGATGTCAGATATGTAAAAAATTCCCAGATCACAAGAAGAGGCCAACTCTGCCTGGGATGGACCTCCACATAGAAGAGCATAGAGAAGAACCATTTATGAATGGTATTAGGCTGAGGAGGGAAAGGGAGACAGAAAAGGGCAGAGACCAAGAGATATCAAGTGCTGGAAACGTCTAGCTGCTCACAGCCTGGTGCCTGGATCAACAGCATTGCTTGGGAACTCATAAGCAAAGCATGTACCAGAATGTACCTCAGACCAGTTGTGCCACAAACTGCAATTCAGTACAATTTCCAGGTGATTAATATGCACATTAAAGCTTGAGAAGTTCTGCTGTAAGAGTGCTAGAAAAGATGAATGGTTTCCTTAGCATTTTAGTGACTAGGGTGGAACAGTAGGGGGTGGGGGAAATAAGGTGAAAATTTGGCCAAATTGTGAAGTCTTTCAAAGGAAAGATTTTAGACTTCTTTAGGCAAATGCTTACTTATTTGGCAGTTTGGGAAATTAGGCATAAAATTTATAAAATAGTAAAAACAGATAAAAATGAAGTTTCACGTATTCTTTGAATTTAGCCTGTATCTGCTTTCCTTTTCTCTATCATTTAGAAATGCAATCAGGAAAAAATGGGAAAGAATACAAATATATATTGGTATTTATATTTATTGCAAATATTTTTAATATTTCACCACAAAGAAATGATAAATGTTTGAGATAATGAGTATGCTAATTATCCTTATTGGATCATTGTACAATGTATATTTGTATCAAACTATCATATGACACCTCATAAAATTTTACCTGTATTACATGCCATTTAAAAATAAGGTAAAATAACTAAGTTAAAAAACATGCACTTTTTTCACATGGCTCTAAATAATTTAACATGGCTTTGGAAAACATAAATTTAATATTTTTTTACTATGCCATTAAGAATTTTTATTCAAGTATTTATTTATGATAAAAATATGAATACACTAACTACATATTTGCATTGTTAATGGACAGATCTGCCAAAAAAAGGAAAAACATAAGCTGTGAGAAAGATATAGTAGACTTAAATATTGTGTTCTAGCATTATATTCTTCAATTAAGCAACACTTTGAAAGTGCAATAACTAAGTTATTAGTACATTGTTCTAAGAAAAATATAGGATAAAATTATTTCCTTTGGTCACAGCATTTATGTTTAAAAGGTTTTTCAGAGTTGTTTAGAAAAGCTATCACTTCCTATATAAAACTCATTTCTTGAATAGTTTTTATGAAATCATAGGAAAACAAGTATTTTCTAAGCCCATTTAAAGTAAAAACAGACATTACATTGTTGTCTCTAGAAAAGATTGTAGAATCAACCAAGTAAACCAGTTGTTTTTGTATAAACAAATGGGAGCCTGGCTTCTCAATATAGAAAATCATCAACATTTACAGAACACCTATAAAGATCCTAAATTCCTTTTTTAAAGGACCTAAAACAAAATATTAAAACATTTTTGTCACAAGCATTGAGTAAACCATTGCTTTGAACTCTGTAGCCCTGGACAGTGAGACTCTGCTTCTGGGAATCTTTCCTGTGATAAAATTAAGGAGAAACTCCCATTCACAGGTGGCCACTGTTAATGGGATAGATTCCAAGCCTGGCTTGGAATTTATGGGTTCAACAGTTTTGGGTCCCAATGCCAGCTGCCCAGAGGTAGAAGAAACATGGGCATAATCTTAAGGAACAAGCTGGCAGAAGCTAGAGAAGACATCCACAAGCTACTCAGCCCCAGTTAGTCTGTTCCTGCTCACAACCTCGCTTTGGTTTACCTTGAAGAAGTTTTCTCTCAATAAATCCTTTTGATATTAAAACCTACATAATAAACGTGCGGAGCCTCACTATTTGTTCAGTCAGACCCCATGAGGCTGCCTCCCCATCGGTCCCGCTTTTACCTATTTTTGTCTTTATTTCTTATTCTCCCTATATTTTCCAATCTTCTCATCGCCCATATATGGAGAACTCTTGTGCTAGGCAGGTTTCTTTAACCTGAAAATTTAAGCTAGAAGAATTCTGATGTGGCATTTGTGCTCATGACTTTTAGGATCTGGAAGTGCTTTTGAATTCCAAATGATGTATTTAAATGTCTAGTTTGTCACTTTCTTTTGGTGTGCCTGCCAACAAATTCCATAATATCTCTCAAAATAATCCTTATTAAAAATACACTATAGCTCTTACATGTCTGTCTTGAAGATTAAATGAGATAGCATATATGCAGCACGTAGCAGAGGGTCAGACGAAGTTTCTACCAAAATGATAATTATTGACTTTTTCTTCTCCTTCTTTGTCTTCATCCTCCTCTTATTATTAATTTTATTATCATTATTATATACACAAAATATAAACTTATAAGGTCAATTTAAATAAAACAACCCTGTTTTTACTTTATTTACAGAATGCATATTATGTTGAGAATATTTATACAAATAAACAAAGAATATTCATTTTGACTACGCAAGTTTTAAAATACTTTTTGCACACATATTCTCATTTGATAATTTTCTGACAATTTTTTGAGTTATGTGTTAATTTCATAATAGTTTTTGGGGAAAATGGCCATTATTTCTTCAATCTTTCTGTTCCTCAGTTTTCCTATCATCTATTTCTGGAACTTGAATGTTAAATTGCCTTTTTTTTTGGTCCCATGTATCTTTGATGCTATTTACTTTTAAAGTCTTTCTTTTTTCTTAGTGTCTCATTTTGTATATTTTCCCTAGTGGCACCTTCAACTTCAATGATCTTTTATTCTGTAGTGTCTAAACTGTTGCTATTCTCAAACAGTGAAATTTTTGTTTCACTTTTTGATACTATTTTGTATTTTTCTCATCATAGTCTTACTTTTCCATAAATCTTTGACATATTTATATTTATAATGGTGTTTTGATTGTCTTTTCTATTAATTTTATAATCTGACATTTCCAGGCCTGTTTCTATAGGTTGAATTGTCTCCTGGCTGTAAATTTCACTTTTCTATTTCTCTTCCAGACCAGTAATTTTATATTAGTTGACAAATGTGCATTTGCTTAGTACTAGATTTGATTGAATCCCCTTAGAGACAGTTAGAAATAATTCTTGCAGAGGATTATGTTTCTTGTGAGTCAGACTGACTATTCTGATGTTGGTTTTAAAAACTATGGAGGTAATAAATATGAAGTAGTCTCTAGAGTTAATATATCACTATTACTAAGATTTGACCCTTCTGTGCCCTTTACTGAATACCCCATCTATCAGTGAAGGCTCACTACTTTGGCTATTAGGGATTCCTAAGATACCCTAGACTTGTGAGAACTCTGGGGATGCTTCTACTTCCAGTTCTCTGGCAATTATTGTTTTGCAGAAGATGTTCTTCATGCTATATATGAATTTCACACTATATATGTGGAGACTACTATTCAAACAAAAACCCCAGTGCCCAAAACATAGACAGACACAGGGAACTTCCTATAAAAATACCTTTCAGTAGATGAATTGATAAAGAAAATGTGGTATATATACACAATGGAATATTACTCAGCATTAAAAGAGAATAAAATCATGGCATTTGCTGCAGGTAAATGGATGGAGTTGGAGAATATAATGCTAAGCGAAGTAAGCCAATCCCAAAAAACCAAATGCCAGTGTCATCTCTGATATAAGGATGCTGATTCATAATGGGTCTGGGGAGGCATGGGAGGAATAGATGAACTTTAGATAGGGCAAAGGGGAAGGAGGGGAAGGGAGAAGGATGGGGGTAAGAAAGATGGTGGAATGAAATGGGCATCATTACCCTAAGTACATGCATGAAAACATGAATGGTGTAACTCTATTTTGTATACAACTAGAGACATGAAAAATTGCGCTCTATATATGTAATATGAATTGAATTGCATTCTGCTGTCATATTTAACTAATTAGAA